GAAGCTGTTGTATGGATCTACAGCTGGTGGAGGTTTGGCTTGCCTGCCAATGACTCCTTCCAAGTTGCAGTCCAACCCAAGAGAGAGACCTTCTTCAAGTTCACCACAGAACTTGTAGCAGTGGCTGTGTACATCCTTTGCCTTCTCTTCTTCTCTGAGCCTGCAGCTTACACTTGTTCCAAGGCTGAGAGAAACAAGGTCAGAATCCTCAGCATCAGGATGAGAAGAAAGCTCAAATGTCTCCTTCACTTCTTCTTGCTTTGCTACTCCAAAAAAATGTATTTGGTTGTTGTGATTGCAGTTTGTCAAACTTGGTTCCAGAAATATTTTCTCTTTGGTACTGAATTCAGTATAATCCTCCTGTAATCACAACAATCAATGGAATTTGTATGAAAGTTATAGATAATTATTGGCAGACAATATTGTTGAATTAATTTGGAAACAATTTAATTAGATAGGTGAACATTAATTTGGAAACAATATCATTAGTATGGAAATGATCTTAGTTCATTGAACTATGGATAATACAAATTCCAGATTGCTAATAACTTTGTCTTGTAGATGTTCAATAGAAAAAGCACAACTGCAACATCCTGTTGGTCATATGAGACTTGTAGAACATTTGAAGAGAGAGAGAGAGACAAAAGCTCACTTGGATTGTGATTGTATCATTTTAAATGCAGATCTAAAGTTCACCAACCTCATTCATTTCATACAACTGTTCATCAAAGGGCATATGTAGTTGTGAGGTAAACCCATGCTATTATTTGTTTGCAGCAATGCTAGTTTGAGCAGATGTATCTAAATTCTTCTTGCTTTCACACAGAGAAGAAGTCCACAAAATCTTTGTTTTTGTTGAGTTCATACAAAATAGAAAGATATTATGACATGATAAATCTAATTTTTTGGTAGCTGATTGATTACCTGACTGCTGCAGGGAGAGGTTGGCTTTGATGGATTGCTGTTCCAGATTTCTGCTTCGACATCAAACTGCAAGAACATAAGATCACATGCATAAACAAATGGATGGAATGCTTCCTCTTTAAGCTCTATGTTTTCCTGTTTTTTCTTTTCACTTGAAACAATCAATCTGTAAGTTGTGCAATTGAGAACTCAGTCTCGAAACAAAGAACCCTAATTTACACGTAGTGCAAGAAAATAACAGAGAAAGAAGAGGCTGTACATCTCTTCTGTCACCAGCACCTTCGACCTTCGCCTTCTCCATTGCCACACCCCTATTGATCGTTGTTACTCCTCTCGGAACAGGCAAAGACTCCATCTCCTTCCTCCTCTTTCACAGCAGCTCTCCTTGCTGCCGGTTATCCTCGCGAATTCCTCCTCATATAAAGGCAAATAATAGCCTACTGTTTTGGACTTAGAAATCCACCCCCTGGTCCTTATCTCTTCAAGCTTCAGAAACGTCAACAGCCCGAAGTGCACTGCAAGAAGGAAAAGAAGAATGGATTTCAACGTCATGCTGAGTGCTCACAGCCGCAGTAGCCTTCGTCTCCTTTGGACTTTCTGCACGACTCTGATTACTAATTGATATGTAGAGTTTAAAGCGATACTTTGACTTTAAGCCACTTCGATTAATGTGATAAAGAAAATTACTACTACTACTGCTACTTTCTAGATAGGTGTTTTGCACCTAATGTTGTCATGAACATACCTCCTACTCTTTGTTGGTTCTCGTGTTTGTGATGATTGAACCCTAACCACACTTCTCTCGGAAGGGAAAAGATTGCCCTAACGTGAATGGAAGGAATAATTGTGGTCAAAAGAGAAGGAAGACATCACACACTAATTAGCTGTGGTTGGCCAATTTGCTGGGAGACTGCATATTGTACAGTCAGGTTGAATTGTTGAAGGTTGACAATGGTGCATTCTGTGACAACAACAGGAGACAGATTCTAAGTGATTTCAACGTTGACTAAGTTGAGCCTCTTTTTCTGAATTCCTGCGTTTGAACGTGGATCATCTCAGCTCTTCACTACTTCTTTTCTCACTTGCTTTGTTCTTCTTGCAACTCTTTGGTTCAAAAGTCAACTTAGAGTTCTCTGCATGGTTTCTTCTCAACATTAATCACTGATTGGATTGGATTGTAAGCGATAGAATACTCTTTTTTTTTTTGTGATTTTTTGAGAAAAATCATTTTTTTCTTTTTGGGAAAGTGCTCATATTTTTAGAATTCTCTAATAATGTCTTTATGTTCTAATATTTAAAATATCCTCACCTATTTGCTCCTTTTCTTCCTATTTTCCTATAGATCGATTCACTCGAAATATTCCCACTTGCTTGCTCCTTTTCTTCCTCTTTTTATAGATTTGAATCGGTCCAATTATAATGTTTTTACACCATGTCACAATGTTTCTAATAATATCAAAAAAATATCATAACACAGTATGAAAATATTAAATAGTGTTTTCGTATGTTATTGAAAACATTATACATAGTATAAAAATATTATAATAAAAAAATAGTAGGTAATCAATTGTAAAATCAAAGATATTCCAAATATTAGATAAAAATAGGAGAATTGATCCCTTTTTTTGGTGCTACAGTGTATGAATCCACAAAGAAAATAACTATGTCATACACTTCTCATGCCATTGCTAAACCAAACTCTTTGATATTTTTCTGACCTTAAGATAAAAATTATTGCTAGTGATACGTATAAACTATTGTCACATTGTAGTTTAGACAAAACTTATACATATCAGCGGAGACAAAGACGATAAAACTCAACTGGAATACCACCAAAATAGACGGTCAACTTCTTGCCACCAATTAAATATAAAAGAAATATGATGAAAATTTCAGTGGAGATTCTTATGTTGGTGCTATGCTTGTCTTTTATGCAATTATATTCGATATCCACAATTAAACTTGGCCTCTATTAAAGTATTCCATCTGACATTGCAATTGTTTTAAGGGTTCTTAGAGTTTATGCTTGATGCTTGGCAATGGTTCTCATTATCTTTCCCTACATCCATAGAATTAATCTTGGTCTTTATACCTTATCTTGGTCTTTATAGAGTTGTCTTGGTCTTTATATCTTATCTTCAATAATTTCATGTATGGTGTGTGGCAAAAAGGCTAATAATTATGGCTAAACTATCAAAAAGGGAGTAAATTTGTGAGCCTTAGATTCTCTCTTTCTTTTATGTGTGTGTGTGAGAGAGAGAGAGAGAGAGAGAGATCTGATGACTAAATGAAAGTTAAGAGTTCAGTTCATGAGAAGAAAATTAAAAGGGTGGCTTAGTGCATGAGACTATATGCTGAGATGATGACTTCCCTAGTAAGTATTTTCATAGACCTTGTTTTCCACAATCAATGATTATATTTTGACAACATGTGATTGTGAAGGTTCATAAATGTGTCTGCTGGTCCAACTAACCATACAGTCAAAGTCAAAAGTCAATAGTAATAAGTTGACTATGATAAATTTATCATATATATATATATAGGGCTATTGGGCAAGCATAAAAATTTAAATATGAGATTATCTTTAAAGGTTTAACTAGAAAATTTGCTCACTATAGTAAACCCTTTTAGGAAAAATTAAATTATTACATATTAAGGACCCTTATTTGAATAGATTGAAGTAGATAGGAAAACAAAAAGATTTTCACATTAATGAAGGAGTAATTAAATTTTGAGATAGATTATATGTACCAAAAGAATATGATATAAAGTAAGAAATTTTAACAGAGATACACTTATTTTTATACTCAATGTATCCTAGAATAACCAAGATGTACAGGGATTTGAAAGAGCACTACTAGTAGCTAGGAATGAAGATAAAGGTGTCTCACATGTTAATAAATCAAAATAGAACATTCGGAGACTAGCAAATACCTTAAATCGATTGTGAATACTCCAATGAAAATGGGAAAAGGTCAATATGAATTTTGTCATGTGTCAATCTAAAACCAGCAAAAAAAACATGATAAAATTATTCCATGAATTAATATGCTCAATTATATATCCAAGAAATAGTTAGACTTCTATGTCTATATTTATTGTATTATATCGAAGTTTCATATTCATATTAAGATACGAGAAAAGTTTTTATAAGGCACTAGAGACAAAGTTAGTTTTTAACATTGCTTTTCATCCTCAAATAGATAATCAAGAAGCATATACCATTGATGTAAAGAATAGGCAAATACACGTATGATATAAGTGGGACTAAGAGTAGGGTATTACTCTTATATGTATGATATAAGTGGGACTAAGAGTATGGTATTACAGGTAAGCATATACCATTGATCTAAAGAATGAGCAAAAAATCATATCAACATTTGGTTAAAAATTATGTTATTAGATAGATTATGTTAGGTGATATTAGTTACATATGGATCCAACTATATATGGACGTGGATCTATATGGGCCTTTGGATCAAATTGAATATTGGGCGCATAAGTTGTGGCTTAATCTTGTGTGAGTCAATGGCGTTCTCTCCAAAATTTTGTCCTCTATCATGAATTATCTTATTTATTTATTAATATAATTGAATTTCAGAGATTTTTTGTTAATTTATTTATTATATGATCTTAGGCAAATATTAGTTATTATAATGATAATAAAATATATTATAGATCTAATTAGATTTTAAATAAGACTATTAGGTAATAAAAAGAAAGTTCATCTATATTAGAAAATCTTGAGGATAACAAAAACTCTTGATCCTCTGCTCTCGTGTATATAACGAATCTAATCATGTAATATAGAAACATAAACATGTAATATGAAAAGTAGGGAAAAAAAAGTTGAACTTCTTATTTTCAAATCTAAGATGAGATACTTCAACATCCCAACTATCTTTGATTATGATATCCAATCTTGGATCTATCCTTAAAGATTTCAATATTCGTATTAAAATTTTTCTGCATTATAATTTATTTTAACAAAAACCCCCCTCACTAAAACAAGATTTGAGAGACCTAATTGAGTTATTTAAGACTAGATGGTGATTCCATAGGCTTGAAATGATTAATTAAAAGCAAATATCTACTATTTGTTTTGATTTCTTTAGTTATTGTGAAGAATACAGGAGATGGGAACAGTGTGGTAGTGTTTATATAGAACATGAGAAACCAATAACTGGAAGTTAAAGTGGAGTACGTGAGACTGCGCATGGCTTCTGCATGCTTGCTGGCCTCATCTGCTGCTTGACCTCAGCTTTAAGGACACGTAGAACCCAATGGAGAAGCCTACAGCTGCAGCAGCAATGACGTTCCTGTTCTTGTTGAAGCTCTCCACCAGCTTATCCACCACTTGAGAGTCGACCCACTCCTCCATCCCCTTCATCCTCTTCATCCAACTCACACCTTCCTTTCTGCCATCTTTGTTAGTGCACCAACTCTTGGGCTTCTTTCCACTCTCCGTTCTACTCTTTGCCTTCTCTTCTTCCTGTTTCCTGTCACCACCTGCTGGTATTCCCATGGGGAAATGTCTTTCCTCGATCCCAACACCGTCTATTGGCTTCTCGACGGCCTTGTGCTGACCACTCTCTGGCTTCTCTTGCAGGATGGGCTCTTCCTCTTTCTTCTTCTTATCTTCTTCCTGTGAGATACCCACCTGAGTTGATTCTGTTTCTTGTGTCTTCTTCTTTGGCATGATGACGGAAAGCCAGCCATCTTGGAACCTCCCACCGACCCTTTCGAGGTCGGCATCTTGAGGAACGTCGAAATCACGCTCAAAACGCTCCACCGTAGCCTGACCCACACGCCTCCTGCCCTTCACCTTCAGCTTCCTGGAGTCGTCGTCAACACGGATCTTGATGTCTTCCGCCTTAAAACCTATGTTTTCATGCACGAAAGATGTATGAGATAATGCATGAACAATTTTTTTGATGGCTAAAACCCATATGAATCTCTTCTCGTCATTGCCATTCTACCTGGAAGAAGAACACGGAGGATATGATTATGAGCGGTCTCATTCCACTCGGTGGGTGGCTGCAGATCCTGGTAAACCAGCTGCTTGGGCTGTCCTCTCGAGCCATCCATGGAAATTGATAGAAAGAAGATGAACTGCTGGTGTCGTGTGCAGCATGCTTGGAGGCCGGCTGCTGTATTTATAGTACACCTCTTCTTTCTCGGTTCGTTGCGGTGGCTTTGCATGGCGTCGCGGTCATTCCAAACCTCTCCTTGGGATGCCTTATCTTCCCTTACATGAAAGGAAACGTAAAGAATCCTTCGCTCTTCCTTGGCTAAATGGATGCCCTTTTTTTGTGCTTTCCTACGTTCTTGTGCGGCTCGGCTTGCAGACATGTCCGGTCTTCTATTTGCTTGCCCAACAATACATTGTTTCCCATGTGTATGTATATGCATATCTGAGAAGCTGTAGACATCACTGTTTGATGTCAAATACTCTGCAAGTATAAAGCTGAGACTGCTCTATTTCTGAATCCTTCGAGTCGAAGCAAGTCTTCTGTTGCACTCTACCTCAAAGAACTGGATCACTCACCACAACATGGAACAGTTATAGTATCTCAACAATCCATTCCTCTCTCTCTCTCTCTCTCTCTCTCTCTCTCTCTCTCTTAGTGAGTCAAGAAGCTTTCTTGATTTCTTGCCATTTTTCTGTTTCTGCTAGTGATGGTTGCAAGTCTTAGGAAGCTCTTGGTATTGTCAGGCTGCCATCTGCTGCACAACTGTTGGATCCACTGGGTGGCTCCTTTTCACCACAATTTTATATCAATTCTTCTGTACACCATATGATAGTATCTCTCTACCCTGACCCACTTGTCTTTGGCATATGACTCTGTGGTTCCAGTGATCAGTTGCCAGACACTGAAATCATCCAATTATAATGCAACTCAAATTCCAGATGTAATCTTAATGTTGATTGACTTCATCATTAAAACATTGAATAGATTATAGCATATAAGAAGCAGCACTGAAGACTAGTACCTGGCGATGGTTACCTACTATTGAGAAGAGAGGTACAAAAGAAACCTTCCAATAACCAGCTCAGGTGGAGGCCAATGGGCACTGCTTTGTCCACTGGTTGGTGTGCCTTGTCCCTTTCTTGGTGATGGACAGGATTGAGAGTATCTTCTTTTGTGGAGGAGCAAGTGGCATTGGAGATGTGGTGAGCTTTTCTACTTGGTTGGCACATCACATGATATGCTTCATTGGAATCTTGTTGGACTGTCACTATCAGTAAGAATGAGCTATTTAATTGACCAAAATGATGAGCATTGGGTAAAGAGATTTTACACACACACAAGTATATATATATATATATATATATATATATATATATATATATATATATATTCTCCTGTTAACATCCATCCAAAAATCCTTATATTAATCAATACTGGTCACAGTTAAAATAGCTAATCTGAGATAAGAAAAGAACATAAAATATCTAAAATGCTTATTCTTGATGGATTTTAAAAGACATTAATGACAACACTCAACTGACAAAGGTTAATTAGAAAAACATAAGTATGCACCGTTTTTTAAGGAAAATATATGCAAGTTTTTTTTCCCAAGAATAAAATGGGAATTAGCTCCGGCCATCTTCTGCAAATAAATCAAGGCTCTTTGATGAGTTTTTTTTTTCTTCTGTTTCATGCCTTGGGTTTTTCTTTTTATTTTTGTGGGCAAAACTAGGAAAGAAACAATTGACCAGCCCCGTTGGTATCCACCTTCCGACCAAATAATTCGGTCGTCACGGTGAACCATTCTCCGGTCTCCATCATTGGGTCCATCACCATGACGGTGCCTGTCATAGAGGTCCCATCTTATCTGTCAACGTACAATTCCAACTCTGACCGTAGACCAGCTGGTCTGGCTCGGGTCATTTCTGATTTGAATCGATGTACTTACCGTTCAATCCTCGCTATGAGTACGAGGAATCTCATTCATTAGCAGAAACACGAAGATTTAGCTCATCAAAACAATGGTTAATATACACAAAAATATGCAAAGAAACATTGTGGCGTTACAAAGCTGGACCTGTTGCAATGTTCAGCAACCCAAGATCTTCCACAGCTCGAACCTGTTCCTCGCGCCTGAGGAAGACACGTAAATAAGCAATAAGAGATCGATAAGAGAGAGGACAGATTCGAAGGCACAACCCATGAGACAAGAGTTGATTCTTTTAGAGCTATCCAACAGGTTGTACGATATCACATCATCACCAACATGTGCAGGTCTTAGTGTGCACACATAGCAGTACTAAACTCCATTGATGGAGAGAAGCTAAAAAAAATCCTCAGCCATGCATTTGGAAGAGATAATATTACCTTGGGATGATACATGTTCAAATGTTCTGTAATAGGATCTAATATCTAGTCGACATCAACTTTGACAAACACCAGGGAACATAAATGGAAAGAGATGCATACCCACTCGGCGAGAAGGCCAGAGATTTGTGTGGTACCTGACACAATCTACTCCTTGAAAGCATGATTCATTCTTGGGCGTGGCTTTGATGCTTTCTCCCATTGGTCCTTGTGCCTTCCTGCTCCTCCATGTCCTCCATGCAAGAGTGTAGAGCAAGCAGCCACCAGAGACCCGCCGCCCCGCTTCTCTCTCTGTAAAAGCCAAGATGATAACATTAAGATGCCATTCCAGTAACAGTAATACATGCCAATGCACAATGTTGTATACAGAGGAATAAAGCAGTTGATAATTGAGTTCATAATTTTTCATGTTGCTGCTGTTTGCAAATCCTTGCTCTTTAGTATGCATTTATGGGGAGTCGTTTATATCAAACCTCAATCTATGGCAACTAGTTAACAGCTTAGAGAACTGGTTGTCTGCTGCTATAATCTATGTCTAATGCTAAGTGGAAGATTAGCAGGACTCAAATAATTCAGTGGTCTGGCCAATCAAAGGAAGGCAAGCATAAGCTCTAACCTAGTGATCAGTGCACATGACTAGAAGAGATAAACTCATACCCCTTGTTCTGATGCATTAGATTTGAATCTATACCGTGCAGAATCTTAATCAGTGACTGTATAATAAAAAAAACATGCCAAAGAAAATAAGGGCACATACACTTTTCCATGTAAACCCATTTTTTATAAATATTATAGAACATACCCTTGTCCAGATGCCTTCTAACCCGATATATGAAAGGATGCATGAATGCAGCATAGAGTTAGAAGCAGGCAACAAAGTTTATCAAATCTGTACATGTGAAGATACATGAAATTATTCCTCTCTGAACTTGTGAAAGTATATCCGAGTAACAAAGATAACATTCTAGAGCAAATATTATAAAGAAAAAACTACTAATATTTTCGGATCAGCCAAACATACGCAACTGATTATTGGGAGACACTTAGGTAATTGATGGCACCCATGAGAAGGATTGAAGACACAAGTTGCCTCCAATGACGAAGAGGTGTATAGCTCGAAGGAAAGAAACTACATGGAGGAGATCCAGCAAGGTTGCCCAGGGTCAAATTGCTTCTATCAAGATGCACATGTGTAACTTTCTTCTGCTTGACTAAAATCTCCCGATTCTTTTTTCACTCTTTTGAATAATGTTTTCGTTACCTTTTCTTTTATTGCTTCACATCAGCTTATTTTATGGGTTTTGGTCTGTTGTAGATCAATATCCATTTGCAGTATTGGGTGAGACACCGGCAGTTTTAAATAGCATAATATTTAACAAACAGGCGTGTGTTATTTATAACTCTGTGTAGCTTGTAATGGTTTAATATCAATAAGATATTTGGACAATGGCAAAATCTTTCAACAAGCTTTGAGGACATAAAGGTTGGATAAGAAATGGCTAAAGTTACAAAACTTCTACATGGCCATTTTGATTAGTGAGGACTTAAGTTTCTAGGGTTAAATAACACTTTGAATAGAATCATTCTATAAGTTCCAAAGCATAACATAAATTAAGGTCTGCAGATTATTTTTTTCAATCCTAACATAGTAGTTATCTCAGTATCTCTTTTGAGAAACAGCCAATGAGAATGGGAAGGCGTAAACAGATATAGATAAAAATACTCACTACACTGTCATACTTTGAAGCATCTAAAGCAAACAAGACAATTTTGTAATTAGGTGAAAGACAAAAGCATTTCTAAAGTGGAACAGGAACTGAAGAAATTTGCTTTGTATGTACAGAATTGTGACAAGATGAGACCATCAGGTATGAAAACATTTAATGTAAGAAAACAAGAAACAACAATGTTTTATATACGTACAATGTACTCTAGACTGAAGCTAAAGGAAAAGTTTTTCTCATACCACTGCTACAGACCATATTTGTCTGGGGAGCCTTTGTGAAGGCAATCAGCTCCTTCCTGCAGAAAGATTCTGTCCTCTTGAATTTGTCCCCTTCTCTACTCTTTTGCTTCTCTCCCGTCCGTCAGGGTCATATCCCCCTCACAGCAGCCCCCATTCGAGGCTGCAGGGGCTGAATACATGGTGTTCACAGTTGAACCTGCCTGTATACTCTTCAACATTGTCATCACCTCTAGCATTGTGGGTCGCCTCAGCGGCCTATCATCGAGGCAGGCACAAGCGATCTTAAGGTGCTCTAATAACTCCAGCTCCAGGTGCGGGTCCTCCTGCAGTAGCTCTGGGTCAAATACATCACTTATTCTGAGCTTTGAGTGCTGCTTCACCCACCCCACCAAATTGTTGTCTCCAAAGTCTGTGGAGCCTGTCGACCGTCTTCCAGTGAGCAGCTCGAGCAAGACAACACCATAGCTGTAAACATCGCCATTGGTGGTGCATCGAAAGCTCTGATAGTATTCGGGTGGGACATAGCCAGGTGTACCTGCTAGTGCAGACACACTCAAGTGTGTGTCCACTGCACTCATCTGTCTCGCCATGCCAAAATCTGAGACCCGGGCTTCCAAGCTGTCATCAAGAAGAACATTGCTGGACTTCATATCTCTGTGAATTATGTGAGGAATGCAGTCATGGTGTAAGAATGCTAAACCTCTGGCTGCCCCCAGAGCAATTATCCTCCTCGCTGCCCAATTCAGCTTGATTTTTACCTTATTGCAGTCATGCAACACATCTTCTAGGCTCCCATATTTCATGTACTCATAGACCAAAATTCGCTCTTCTGCAACTTTGCAGTAGCCCAGAAGGGAAACCAGGTTGCAGTGCTTGATCTTCCCAATGGTCTCCATCTCAGCTGTGAACTCTCGATCACCTTGCCCACTCACATGTTTCAATTTCTTGATGGCAACAACACTACCATCCTTCAGCTGGGCTCTGTAAACATCACCAAATCCACCAGAACCTATCAGGAAGTCATTGTGGAAGCCATTGGTTGCCTCAACCAGATCCACAAAAGAGAGATTCTTGAGAGGCATCTCAAATGTGGAAAGGTTGATAGCCAATGCATCTTTGGTGGCAGTCAGCTTCCAGTTCGAACTGGTGGTGTTTGAGGGAGATCGGCTATCAAAATAAATGTCCCTTGAGCAGTTACTGTTGTCTTTCTCCTTTCGCCTCTTCTTTGTCTCAATTATGATTATGGCTAGACCAAAAATGCAGAACAGGGAGAAAAGCAATCCCATTGCAATGCTCCCGGCAAGAGAGGCTTGACCATGGTGAGACCTCCCGTGTTGGGTGCTTGATTTAGGCCCAGCAAGGTCCTTGCAAGATGGGAGAGGAAACCCACAGAGGCCTGAATTGTTCTCATAGCGGTACCGGGGGAAGGTCGCCAGCTGACCTAGTTCAGGAATAGACCCATTGAGCTTATTGTTTGAGAGATCAATCTCGGACAACATTGCAAGGCCGGAGAACGATGGTGGAATCGGCCCCTCAAGAGCATTATGAGAGAGATCCAACCCTGCAGCATACCGCAAGCTCCCCAATTCTGGTGGTATCGGACCAGAGAGCATATTGTGGCCCAAGTTCAAGATCAGAAGGTGGTACATGCTGCCGAACTTTTTGGGGATCTCTCCACTGAGCTGATTGTAAGAGAGATCGAGAAAGAGCATCGAGCCATTATTATTGAAGGTATACTGGGTAATCCCCTTGTAGACCCTCGTGAAGTTACAAAACTGTAGGCTGGGCAATCGATCGAGGTCCTCTGGTCGGATCCCGCCAAACTCGAGTAGATTGCCTGTTCCACGGCATCCACTGGTGCCATCGTTCTTCAGATACACGTAAGGCTCACCAGTGACCAAGCCCACCGCAATCTTGCCAGACTGGTCGGCCAGGGCTGGGGGAATCGATCCGTTGAGCTGGTTGTTGCTGAGGTCCAGCCATATCAAGCTCCTGCAATCCCCGAGGTCAGGAGGGATCGAACCGGAGAAGGAGTTGTTGCCGAGCTTGAGAATGGCCAAATTGCGAAGCTGGCCAATCCATGAGGGGATCAATCCGCTCAGGCGGTTGCTCGACAGAGAGAGCCAATTCAAGCTAGTGCAATTGACAAGGTTAGCAGGGATCGACCCAGTGAGGTCATTGTTGTCAAGGATGAGGTTCTTGAGGGTTCGGATATTGGAAAGTTCCGGTGGGATCTCACCCTCCAGCAAATTCTGCCACATGATGAGATCACAAAGCGAAGGGAGCAAGCCGAGCGTGGAAGGAATGGCTCCGCCAATGTAATTGAGGCTGACATCCAGGGAGACGAGCTTGGTGCAATTGCTCAGCGACTCTGGGATGCGGCCAGTGAGCTGGTTGTTCTGTAAGTAGAGCGTCTCCAAGCCGAAGATTGGGCTCGGGCACAACTCCGAGGGGATCGATCCCGTCAAAGAGTTGGAGCTGAGGTCGAGCACTTCGAGCATCGGCATCTTGGTGATCAAGTCGCCGAGGCTGCCGGTGAGATTGTTGAAGGCGAGCTCAAGGGTCTTGAGATGCGGCATCGAGATCAGGGTTTCGAGGGGTAACTCGCCGGAGAAGTTGTTGTTGGAAAGACTGAGAGAGACCAAGGAAGTGCAGGAGGAGAGGTCGGAGGGGAGGGTACCGGTTAAGTGGTTGGAGGAGAGATTCAAGTAGGTCAAGCTCCGACAGCCACTGAAGACCCCGACGCTGATCTCGCCGGAGAGGCCGCTCATCGAAAGATCCAGGTGCTGAAGGTAGGAGCAGTTGGGAATGGCCGGAATCCCGTCGGAAAAGCGGTTCCCGGCCAGGTCAAGGCGGCGGACAGAGCCCAGGTTGGAGAGGAGCCACCGGAGTTCGTCCTCTCTGGAGACCTTGTTGAAGGAGAGGTCGAGCGTCTCGATCTCGAACCCGACGACGACATGACCATCTTTCACTGCAGCAGCCGGCAGAACCCCGACGGAGTTGCCAGAGAGATTGAGCGATCTCAGCCCGGGGCAAGCCGCGGCGAGAGAGGAGATCTCGGCGAGGGAACCCCAGAGGCCGTTGCCGGAGAGATCGATGTCGGAGAGCCTGCCGCCGCACCGGCCACCGTCAAGGGCCCCAGTGAGGTTCACAGCACGTAGGGAGAGGCTTTCGAGGCCACCGAGGGCGAGGATTGAGGACGACACAGCGCGGAAGTCGGCGCCGAGTGAGACGCCCTGCAGCACGACACCTGCGACGCGGCCGCCGGGGCTACAGATGACGCCGGAAAAGGAGCAGGGGCCACCGCCGAGGTGGTCCCAGCTGGGGAGCAGCTGAGGGTTGGCGACCGCGGCCTTGAATGACATCAGGAGCTCCAAATCGCCAGCGTCGCCCGACCCGAAGGCGATACCTAGGAAGCAGAGTAGGCAGGCGAGGCAGAAAAAGAAGGCGGAGGAGGAGGAGCGTCGGCGTTCTCGACCCACCATGGTGCCGGATAGGGTCTCGCTAGGGTTTGGTTTCCGCCATCGGTCACGCTATCCGCACTCGCGCAGGTGCTCAGAGACCAGCAGTCAAACACAGTCGAGAGGAAGTGGACGTGGTATTCTTTCTATATAAAAAAAGAAGAACAACGCTTGGCCACTTTTCTGCGGGCCACCCGTGTGACATACCTGCTTTTTCGGTGGAGGTTGTGTTATGCCTACGCAGTGGGTCCCGCATCGTGATTAGACGGACCGTCAAGGCACCTGTGCGGGACCACGACCGGGGGACTTACACGGCCCGATCCGAAGTCACGTGCGCTCCGAGGAGCCCAGCCCATGTTCGCTTGTGCCGATCATGGCCGTTCAAACCGACTCGATCGAGGATTATACGGTGATTCTGAGTTCTGATGAAATTACCCTTAATATTATGGGCCATTATATGATATGTGTTAAGTCCGTGAGGGACGTTTTGGTCATATAAAATAAGGTGGCCAACCATCACCGCGATCTCGACCGTCGGTCTTGGCGGGGAATTGGCGAACCAACGGTGATGAGAAGACTTTAACGGCTGGGGAAAGAATTTAAATATGTTTAATAATTGTTTTTAATTTAAACTAGTGAATAAACGTTTATGAATATATATTTTTTAGAGAAATTTAAGGAATATATATTCATATGTAATAATCTTAATATTTTCATGAATATTTATGTCATCCAAACTTTTCAAAGGTAATTACTTCATATTCAAATGTAACATATCAAATCAAGAAGGATGGGTTGGGATGTCTTACGATCATGAAGCGAGATATACATACCTCATAAACAATTAATACTTTTGATTATATATATATATATATATATATATATATATATATATATATATATATAAATTTTTAGTGAAAATTATAAAATAATTTAAAATATCTCTATAAGTATTTAAATGCTCAAATGCTAGATCGACTCTGATACCAAATATCATAACCTAAGCCTGATGAGTTAATTAGTCTATCTACTTCGTTTGGTCTAAACCATTGATCAAAATATTTAAACTGAAATTAATAATAATACACTTATTAGATCCTTATAAGTCAATCTTAATTTTATCCTATTTCAATATGAGATTAATAAGGAGTGTTACAACTCCTCCGCATATGTCCGTATGAAAGTAATTTTAGCCTGTTCTGCTGGAATCCAAGAGTACTATATCTGCCAGAAAATTCAGCACAAGAACCCCACTTTTCAATGCAACAGTTGATGTTTCGTCCAAGAGCAATTCATGAATCTTGGAAGTTTGTGGAGCTTTCTCCCTCTCCAAAGAGCTCATGGATGAGCATGGAAGCTTCCTTGTTGTAAAAGATCAGTGTAACACTAACATGTCATCTGTAATCTCTGCATAAGATCACAGCATTATGCATTGCTTAGTAACAACACTAATTACTGAAAAGTAACATAATGTAATGGCTTCTTTAGATAGGAACAAGCAATAGGAGTATGCCTTAAATCATAGTCCATTTAAAGTCTTTACAGTCAAATTCTCATAGCAACATACAGGAAATGTTTACCTCTATCAAGACATCAATTCAATATAAAATATTATTTTTTATTCATATCCTAAAATAGTTTTTTCAACTGGATCAATTATAAAAGGTTTATTATATTACAATAATTGATGTCACATTGATTATTCATAATTTTTATTTTATTCTATTATTAACTTAAGCATCAGAGATATCACATCAAGAATCCTATTTGACCTTAGTCTTCGTATATGTCGACATCGGGTTGAATATTTAAAATTTCCTTAATCGTTTCTAAAGATTTCTTGTCTATTCAAATCAAATTAAGTTAATCAAATTATCATCGATATCACTCATATTTTTTTAATCAAACATTAATATTTAAACATGTGACATGAATGATTTATTAGGCAGCATTGTTACATAAAACCAGAACAAGATATTAACTATCAACTGGTCCACAAAAGAAAAAAACAGAATCAGAGAACCATCAAAATTATACTACACAACATAAAGAAATTTATCTTGTTGTGATCCTCAAGCAACATATTTAAGAGTAGGCTGTGCTGAACCTAATCCTGCAAAATTCATTAAAGAAGAAGCAAACTGTTGCAAGATCCAATTAGTGTTTGGCATCTCTCCAAGCTACATTGGTAGACTGGAGACCTCTTAGGCCTTGGTGGACTATACAACTATGAGCTGAGTAGCAGTTGACTTTTCCTGCAATGATTCACCATAAACAAATAACTTACTCATGTAGCAATCTTTATCATTATCAGACTTCTAAAGAAGCATGATCAGGTCATTCTTATAGATAGTATATTGCGTGTTGCAGATGGAAATCAGAAACACTTCATGTTTCCAACCTTCTTCAAGTAGCAGGAAGAATCTCTCTCTCTCTCTCTCTCTCTCTGGTAGGGCTACTGCACCAGAAGATGAGCAACAGAGAGGAAGCCATGGTGGATGACGAGAGGAGGAAGCAGAAGCCATGGTTGATAAGACGAGGATGGTCGAGTGGCCAGATTAAGAGCTTCGCTGCGCTCTCCAGTAGCCTCCTTCCGGCCTTCGGAGCTGGCGTTGATGGAAACTACCCTGACATCAAGAAATATATCATTGCACCGTATGATCCCCGTTACAGGTCAAGAAGACCACACACACACACACACTCTCTCTCTCTCTCTCTCATTTCGCTTCCTCCCTTGTTCGTCATCGAGTGTGAAACAAGTTCTTGATTCCTTGGGACAGGTGGTGGCAGATGTTTCTGATCGTGCTGGTGTTCTACTCAGCATGGGCGTCGCCGTTGGAGCTGGCGTTTCCACAGGTGAGCTCGGGCTCGCTCCTCGTCGTCGACCTCGTTGTCGACGTGTTCTTCGGCGTCGACATCGTCGTCTCCTTCTCCGTCGCCTACTTCAACAGCTCCACGTACCTCCTCGTAGACGACCGGAGAAAGATAGCAAAGAGGTGCAGTTGCGTGCACATAGAATCTGAATCTCCTCATCTTCAAGCTCAACAAGACAGCCATGTCCACCTCTCTCTCTTTCTCTCTCTAATCAAACTGATCAACTCATCTTCTTGTGTGCTACAGATACTTGACACGGCCATGGTTTGTGATGGACGTGGCATCTACCATCCCCTTCCATATCATATACCGAATCATCACCGGTAGAGGGAACGGTGGGTCGGTCTTTGGAGTCGTGAATCTGCTCCGGCTGTGGCGGCTCCGACGGGCAAGCAAGCTGTTCGCAAGGTAAGCTCTCAATCGTCACTTCCTCTACGTAATATTCTAATCTCCGGTAGGCCATAAACATGAAACTAGGGAATCTTCAGATACAAAGAACAAGTCCTTAGATTTCTCTTGGCAAAATGAAAATCTAACATGATAATACACAAAATCCATTGTGATCTCCTCTGTGGCCTCCATTCATTGATTTGCTTCTGATCTCCTGCTGTTCCCTGACAAAACAATGATGGGTAAGTGTTGTGCAAATGATGGACAGCAGAGCTCGTCCAAAAGGAATCTAATTATCTCATAAACTAAACCAAATTCCTTGTCCCATCCATTGTGAACTTGGATTAAAGCATGTCATATGAAGATCACATTATGCAGCAAATCCAATATTTTAGTTCACAATCTACTAATGGCACCAACTGCTGACAGACCTTCATATTCAATGACCAAATGGGCATAAGGTGATGTTTTCATCTCTTTTTTGTTTGACACATGAATATTTCTATCGACGAACAAATATGTTATATTTTCTTTGATGTTAGAATTACTCTTGTCGTTTGAAATAGATTGTTAATTCTCATTCATCTTTCTCGTACCAAATGATGTATTGCAGGCTGGAGAAGGACATTCGATTCAGCTACTTCTGGACAAGATACGTGAAGCTCATCTGCGTAAGTTCATCTGCATGCCATGCATGGAATCCGCATGAGTTGGGGTCTTTTGGGCCACGATGTCTTCTTCTTCTTCTTCTTCTTCTTCCTGGCGCAGGTGACACTGTTCGCGGTGCACTCATCGGCTTGCGTGTATTACTGGATGGCCATCCACTACCGGGTGAAGGAGAAGACATGGATCGGCAGCCTGATTCCGGATTTCCAAGAGCGAAGCATATGGCTGGGCTACACCTACGCCATTTACTGGTCCATCACCACCCTCACCACCGTCGGCTACGGCGACTTGCACGCCTGGAACACCGGCGAGAAGGTGTTCACCATCTTCCTCATGCTCTTCAACATCGGCCTCACTGCCTACCTCATCGGCAACATGACCAACCTCATCGTCCACGCCGCCACCCGCACCTTCCTCATGGTACCCGCCGGTCCTGGTTCCTCTTCATCCTCCCCTGCTGCTCCGTGTCGATCTTTTGATGCTGGCATGCACGCAGAGGGACACCATTCATCGAGTTTCGCGGTTCGCGAGCAAGCACCGGCTGCCGGACGGCCTGCGGGAGCAGACGATGGCACACCTACAGCTCCGGTTCAAGACGATGGAGTTGCAGCAGGAAGAGGTGATCGCGGACCTGCCCAAGGCGATCAGATCCACCATCGCCCAGCACCTCTTCCGGCGCACCGTGGAAGCCACGTACCTCTTCAAAGGAGTCTCACCGGAGTTCATAGTGCAGCTGGTAACCATCGTAATCTATCTGATACCACACATGATCAACACAAGCGAAGCTGATATGCTGTGACAGGTTTCAGAGATGAAAGCAGAGTACTTCCCTCCCAAAGTGGACATCATCATAGAGAACGAGATCCCCACGGACCTGTACATCATCGTCTCTGGCGCGGTGGTATGGTCAGAACACACACACTACATCTGACATCTTGACCACTCCCTTCTTCTAATCTTGCAATCATGCAGGATGTCTTGACATCTAAGAATGGAGCAGAAAAGGTACGAGAGTTGCTGTCGGAGAATGAAGAACACACTTCTCTGATTCTTACATAGTGCTACTGATACAAGGTGAAACTTTTAGTTTCTGTCAACAGTAGGTCCTGCAGATCTGGTTGGAGAAATTGGGGTAATCTTCAACATCCCACAGCCCTTTACGGTGCGAAGCAAGAGGCTTTCACAGGTCGTTCGAATCAGTCATCGACATTTTATGCAGATTGTGCAGCCATATAACGCAGATGGGAAGAGAGTCTTATCCAACTTCATGCAGGTTTGGAGCTGGATATGGTGTATCGAAGAACATGTTGATTGAGTATTACTAGTTCTTGGTGTTCTGTCATATTGATGAGCGTTTCAGACAGAGGAGGAACACCATCTTTTCTGACTTTTGAGGCTTTGATCATTTGCAGTTCCTCAAGGAGCTCAGCACAGATTTGATTGAAGAGGTAGCCTTTGTGCCAGAGTTGCTGAAGCAAATGAATGAGGTACATCACTCTATCAAACAGTAAGAAACCTCAAACATAAGCATTTTATATTAAGACTATAAAATAGGATCATGAATTTTCGGCAACAGGAAGGAATCTCAGAGGAACTACAGGATCTTGAAGCATCAATGTCAAATGACCAGGAAACTGCTGCACAAGGTAGAAATCATGAAACACTATCCTCTGGAATTAGCAGAAAATTAGATTCCAAGAGGAGGAAATCTTATGTATCATATAACCATTTCATCATTGCTTGGTGTGCATTTGTAACGAACAGCAAAACAAGTATCCAAATTGGATATGGAAGTAAAGCATTTCATGCTTGTATGTTGTTGCAGAGCCACTAACAGCAGCTTATAGCTCATCTTCTTGTGATTTAGACAAGAGAGTGACAATTCATGGACATCATCCTGAAGAAACTAGCAAAATAGGAAGGCATGCTGCAGGAAAACTCATTTTTCTACCTGATTCAATGGAAGAACTACTGAAATTGGCAGGTATGAAGATCTAATTGTGCTAAAATTCAAGTTTCACAAAATTATCTCTGGTTTTTTGCTTTAAGCTTAAAGCAAACCTATAACAATCAGAACTTACTATATTTCTTACACATCATGGAAGAAGTATGAGAGGTGAGTAGTAAAAGAATCAAAAGTGCTTGGTCTCAGCTGGTGGATCCATTCCAGGTTCATGACAAGGGAAGGTTACTGAGTTCTCAACTAATTAAAGCTATCAGAAGTGATACTTGCCGAAAAGTTTGAGTCTATTTCAATCATTAAAGTTACCATTTTGTTGTTATTGTTATTGTTGAATCATAAATGTTAGTATCACAAAGAACATTCTATCAGTCTGTAAAATATATGCATGTCAATTTTTTTCTCTTCATATACATCCTAACAACTGACAATGATTGCAACCATCCAACAAAAGTTGAACTCAGCAATGGCTCTTACATTGTTTGATCGCAGAGAAGACATTTGGGATGGAAGCAAGGAGGGTTCTCGCACCTGATGGTGCAGAAATCGAAGAGATTTGCACCATTAGAGACAATGACCACTTGTTCATATGTTAGAGAGGAAAGAAAGAGGAGGAGAAGAAGAAGAATCTGCTCAAATAGTATCAATGTTAATATGGGTTTCCAGTTAAATGTTATTAGTATATATATATATATACTAATTACATTTGTTATATATATACTAATTACATTTGTAATCATTCTCAATTTGAATTTAGCATATCCCTATAGTTAACTTTTTTTTTAATTAAGATAAATATATATTGAGTATATTATATTACATAAATTGATACTAATCATGATCAGAAGAAATTAATCATGATTTTCTGGGAATATATATATATATATATATATTAAATATGCGTAAAAGTGATATTTTGAATAAAATTAAAAATTAATATCAGGATCGTGCATCTCATAGAGATTCGTTTACGCTGGTCAAGCGAAACCCACGTTCTTACCAGTCGTCCAGCCGTACCCCGCGGGCCCCGCTTTCTTTCTTGAATCAACAGGGAAGTCGGTGGCCGCGTAAAGGAATCGCGTCCTCTCTCTCTCTCCGTCATTTCGCAGGTCTCGTCGCGATTCGAGACCCCGATCCACTCTTGCTTGGCCGAAGCATCGCCGACGAGATCGCTGGAGGTTGTCTTGGTTGGTTGCCCTTCTGGATCTCTTTCTCATCAATTCATGGTGGATTGTGCGGTTGAGGTTCGAAGTCGCGATCTTGGTAGTGTTCCTCTGCATTTGTTTCCTTTGGATTTTTCTCTGGTACCCAAGTTTGGGAGTTGATTTGGGGGAATAGCGAAGCGAAATTTTCGGCTGTTCTTGATTCGGTTCTGCAAGAGAAGTGGAAGTTCCCGGCGGATCTGGTTCCGCCTGTTTCGAATCAGGGAGTTGTGAGAAGGAAGGCGATAGGGTTTTGATTCGAGCGGAGACGGAGTCGTCATGTTCTATGGGGCGGTCGTGTGGGATCCGTGGCTTATCGTGTCGCAGATCGTCTGCCTCCTGTGTCTCTACTATCTGACCCTCGGATTGTTCATGGCCGTTCTCGTTAGCGCTCGAGTGCCCCGAATGAGCCTCGTGTACTTGTTCGATTTCTCGACGCTTGTGACTTCCACGGTCACCGGATGGTGCGCCATCGCCTCGTTCCTTCTCAGCTCCCTCGCCGGGTAAAAAATCTCGACTTTCTTAGTGGTGGTCACTAATTTGCTCATCTTTTTTATTGGGTTGCCTCTAGGGTGGCTACAAATCTCAGCTTTCTTGTTTGTGCTCACTAATTTGCTCTGCTTTTGTTTTCAATTGCCTCCAGGGAGTTACTTCCTAATCTCCTTTCCCCCTTGCTGTTGTTTGCTTTGAGTTCTTCGTACCACTTTTGCATCTTTGGGATATGAAACTTCTCCTTTCTTATTGATAATCTTCTCCTAATCTTTGCATCAATTATATATTTGAAATTTAGGCACATCGCATTCATTAGTTTGATGAATTTTCATGTGCTGCTTGATGTATAGAAATTCCACAACTTGCAGTGCTCGGCTCTTGAGCTCTTCAGGTTTTTGACTATGGAAATTTACTCAATATTACGGCCATTTAATAATGCTAAAAGGAACAATGTTTATTCCTATGAATTACTTCAACAGAATGTTATCTTAGTGAGCTTCCTTTTTTGCTTGAGCAGGGCAGGTTATTTGTTTCACTTGATAGAAAGAGCTAAAAAGTGCTTGGATTTTTCAGCTACTCTCTACATCATCCATCTCTTTATATGCATCATATATGGGGGTTGGCCATCTTCCATTACCTGGTGGGTTGTTAACATCACTAGTTTGGCATTGATGTCATTCCTCGGCAAACGGTTGTGCATCAGGCGTGAGTTGCAAGAAATTCCTATTGCAAGACTTCGTTCAGGTAAGCGATCTTTTGCTTGTTACTATTTGTCATCTATATCCTTATTCTTATGTGATGCATGCACACCTATGATAATATTCAAGTAACACCATAGTTGGTTTCATGCTACAAATATGCATTCTTCTTGCATCAGATACCTTTTCTTCTAAATTCATTAACTACAGTGTTGATGGATATACAAGGATGGATTCCACAAATGAGGGTCTAGAGAGGTCGGCGTTTGTAGCTTGAGGAGCAACATGACCATTTGTTTTTCTGTATGTTGAGAATTAAGGAAAGATATAGCATCATATAATTTTCAGAAAAAAATAATATGGTGCCTAGATGCCTCCAATGCCTCAACCACTCTCTGGAAGGCAGAGTTTAATCTGCAAATTTGAGCCTCACTAATTATCACCTGATTCAGATCAGGCAGTCACTTATTAAAATTTTAATGTAGTTTTTTTTTTTTCAGACCATGCGGACCATCATCACAATGGAAGCATATGATAGTTTGAGAGGATCCCGCTCTTAATTTATACGTAGAGTGAAGGATACCAATAAAAGTTAGTGGTACGAAACAACAAAACCAGGTCAGCAGCCAATTCAGTCCATGAAGACCACACAAGAGCAGCATGTAATTATGACCAAAAACAATTATCGGACATGGTACTCAAGATCATGAATTTTCATCTTCTGCCGTATTCTGTCATAATCTTGTTGTTTTTCTAATTCAAGAACAACCTATAATATGTCCAATGAGTAAGCTTACTTTAAGAATTCCTTTGGTTGTTCTATTGCATCTGATTTAGCTGCTCCCTTGTTTTGTTTCTATGACCATCCAGCTTAGTTTAGGGAACTTTCTGCAATTATACTTTTCTTCATCCATGGGTATTTTGCCAGTCACTAGTGGGCGCTACATCCACCATCGATGTTGTTCTTTTAAGAATTACCACTTGATAGTTTTGTCTTTACAAATGATTGACCTAATTTACCATCAAAATATAAAAGCCATGGGATCTCATTGCAACTCAGGATGTATGTCTAGGCCTTCAACACAAACTGATGCTAAACTAAGCTCTGCCTTTTAGGGAGATTTTTATATTTACCCTTGTGAATTGTATGTTATTGTAGGATATCAAGAATCAAAAACTTTAAATGACTTGTATGCTCTGATTTCTTTCTTCTTATTTTTTGTACTATTTATTAGTTAACTTTTGTGAAGTTTATTCTCCACAGATGTTTGAGAAGTTAAACATAATATCGCGTTCTCCTCCATGTCCTTAAGAAATTTGAGGAATTCTCAAGTTGATGAAAAGTAGATCACGTGAATGGATGCTGATGACTGCAGCAATGATTCTTTTGTTGTAGATCCTTGGTGTCAATCTGTGGACGAGCAGAGACATGATGCTGGCAACTACAAAATTCTTGCTTTTGTTCATGGTTTTACATGTTCAGTTTCTAGGTTTAAAATTTCATTTCTTGTCATGTACAAACGTCTAACAAGAATTATGGCTCTACAGGTTGAAAATTTACTCATACAATTATGATTAAACTGTGATTTGTATTGTCTTCATGTTGATCAGTTTCATGGCTTTATGTTCTCTGGCTTTATCTGTCGATGATTATATAATGGGTTGAGAAAGAAATGACCACTAAATTGCAGCTCGTTTGACCTCATTTTGTTACACTAAGGGAATAAGTTCATGCGAGTAATCAAACAAGCTTTATTGACTCCTTGATGTTATTTTCATGCGTACTGATGATTTAAGGAGGAAGCTCTATGATTCTAAGGACGACGAGCTGCGGACCAGCACACCATTCCCATCCCCAGCACGTAGCGATCATGCTTCCGCCGCCTCCGCTGCGGCCGCCCGACCGCAATAAGCACTCAGCTTGCACTCGGCCTTCATGCCCTCCTCTGTAGCGCAGAACCGCAAGAACTCGCCGAAGGCGAAAGGACGGAAAAGGGTGGGGCGGCGTTCGTCCACCAGCTCCGCCGGGGCTTGGATCACCGCCTCGTCCTTGGGAACTGAGAAAAGTATGACAGAGTATCTCGTGTCCTCGCCACCCACGTTGACGCGATGCAGAGGGGCGGTCACCCTGCCATTGCTCCATGCCTGCTTGGAAGAGCAGGAGAGACTAAGTTTACCGATATGAGTGGGCTTCGTCAGCAGGCGAACGTGTCTTGCATTTAGTCTACTGATGGGGACAAGGATGACGTAGTTGAATACGACAACAATAGATCCAGATTTTTTTTACAGTACCCGAAAGGTATCGCCGGCGATGACGAAGTAGGAGGTGGGGGAGCTGGGCTTGGCGGGGATCCACTGCCCGTCTCCGCTGTCCACCTCCAGCCCATCCACCCCGTTCAGCTGGCACACGATCCCCAGCGTGTTGACGTCCCGGTGCGCCATATACCCCGCCTTCTTCCTCTCTCCCTCCTCCTCCTGTTCGCCGTCACCGACCGCACCGTACTTGGAGAAACGAAGCAGGTACCAGATGGACGCCGACTGCTCCTCGTGGTACTCGGTCACCCCCAGGCTCTCCAACACCATCCTCCTCACCATCTCCTCCAGTTCTCCCAGTTTCTTGGAGAACGTATACGCCTTCTCGCTACAAGCAGATCATATGCGTGCCCATCAATTTCGCAGTTCGCACTGCGCGATGGATCGGAGAAATAGGAAGACGGTGATTACCAGAAATCGGGGTTCCCGTCGGGCCACAGGAGGCCGCAGAACCTTGGGGCGCCGTGAGGAAGGGGCGCGTCCGTGATGGCGAGGCTCTCATAGTCGAAGCCCGAGATCTGGCCGAGGTAACCGCCGAAGGGCTTGTCGGACGTGTTCTTGATCTTGGCCTCGAGAGGCAGCGGGAACAGTTCCTCGGCGGCCATCTCCAAGATCGAGCCACGGAGCTGGGGAGTAACCCGGTCGTACACCGCCTCAAAGCAGCCGTAGGACCCAAGCGCTTGCATCACCTGCTCCCGCACAGCCTC